GAGATAACTAAGTGGTGAGTCGAGATTATTGATTGGTTTCACTATTAGCATTCATGCTTGATGCTCTTGATGAATTTGACGGTTTCCCTTAATTGATTGATGATTCGTTGATATTGGAACTCACATGTGGATTAACGGAATTGTTTTGTCCTTTGTTTGCTCTCGTTTGGTTGTCTTGAGGCATGCTTTCCTTAAGTTCGATTATCGTTGTAAACGTATTATCTATACACTTGTGGTACGTCTCGATGATTATTGATGTTCATGTTATTGTAATAGTGATGTCTCCTTGTGTGTCCCTCCCTAAAAAAAAAGAAGAAAAAGAGAATAAAAAGTGAGTTCGCGAGGAAGTACGGATTAGGCTCCTCTTATTCCGAGCCATTCGTGGATTGGGATAATGAGCCTGGGAAACCGGTTTAGGACACTCGGGGAAACCCCTCGAGGGTAAACCTAGATTATCTCGTCCGGAAACTTCGTTTGGAAATAAAAGCTCACGAAATGAGTTCGTGAGAGTTGGAAGGATTAGGCTCCTCTTGGCTCGGTTAATCTTATAGATAGATCGGGTCAACGAGCACTGGAAACCGGCCTAGGCGACTCGGGGACAAACTCCGAGGTCAAACCTAGGTAATAATCGTCCTAACGGCTCTCATTTGGAAAGAGTGGCTCATTTAAAAAAAATACATATAAAAAAAAAAGAAAAGAAAAAAAAGTAGAAAATTGGGGAATTGGCCTATTGATCTCGTGCTTATTATTTCATATTTTGTAAATCATTTATGGTTTTTGCACGTATATGTGAATGAGGGAGTTTGACTCGAGCGATCATTTGTGGAATGACTTGGGACGAGTTTTTGTTTCGTTTGATTCACTATGTGGGGACCGTGTCTCAAATTGGATTTTGATTTTGGGATAACCGGATGATAATGAGAGTTTCATTTTGCATGTTCGTTAACTTTGGACCATTCGATATATCTCTTCGAGCTATTTGTTATTTTGTTTGCTTGAGGACAAGCAAAAAGCTAAGTGTGGGGGAGTTGTTTGTTATGTTTTTGTGCTTATTTTTATGTGTCTATTTGTGTTATTGAGTCGGTTTTAGGATGGTTTTAGTGTCGTCCGGTCCATTTTGCATTTTGTGTGATTTTATATTTTCTCTTTTATTTGGTATTTTGGCATACTTGTCCCGTGTTTTATGGTAAAATTTCAGGTTTATTTCAAGGATGCATGAAAAGAGTTGAAACGAGTGTTCCAAAGTCAATTCCGAGCCAAGTCGAGTCATTCGCACGAACTATTTCGAACCAAGTGTTTCGAGCCTCGGTCGAGTCGGGCGCACATGCCCCCACGCCAGCGCAGCTGCGCACCGCACATGCCCTCACGCCAGCCACGCGCACGACCGCGTCCGCCAACCAACTCGCGACATCGCGGAATCCATAGCGTGCTCGAGAGTGCCGCGATGCTGAAGCCGAACACCCGCTCGCGAGCTCGCACCCATAACCGCGACGTCGAGAGTCCCGCATCCCAGCAACGCCTGCTGCCCGCCTTACTCGCGCGCTCGCAGAATGAGCCGCGAGGTCTAGAGCATTGCCATTCTACGCTTGCGTGCACGCGGATTGAGCCGCGATATCGAGAGTGCGCCCTGCACGCATTAACCTAGCGCGCGCCCGAACACCCGTAGTCGCGCATGTCCGCACACCGCACGTCTGCGCGCTCGCGAATCTTGCCGCAACCTCGAGAGTTCTCCACAACCTTGCACCTGTGCAAGCCATCCACCGCGAGCTCGCGAATTCCATGGAGAGCTCGAGAGTGTCCCAATTTAAACTGCATGTTTTAGTGTGTGTTTTGGGTGGTAGTATAAATAATTTTCTTTCATTGCATTTTGTAGATCATTCTCTCATTTTTCACTTTTCCTCTTTGGGAAATTAGTTTATGTTTTAGTTTTGCTCTCTAGATTAGGAGCTTATGCTATTTTCCGGGAGATTTTCCGGCGACTTTGGTTTCGTTCAAGTTTCGAGCTTTTGACTCCGTTTTTCATCGTCTACGCAATGGGAGATTGAGTATTTAGATTTAAAGCTCTTTACTTCAGTTTTTGCTCCGGTTTTACTTATAATGTTCATTAGAGTAAATTGGATTTGATTGATGATGGTGAAAACGCTTGAACTTGATTGCTTGCTTGAGTAGATAGAGCCGTTAATTGCTTGTTGATCTCAGTTAGACGACTAGGGTTAGCAATCTAATGCTCGTAGCTCGTTTATTCCGTTTGTCGATTTATTATCATCCCGATATGGTCATGGCATGAGACTCTGGTGATCTAGTTTGCTAATTGCTCGCGATTTCATCTTGCTTCTAGTTAATTGCTTGTTTTTAAGTGCTCGATTAGTGTTAATCAACCATCAAATAAATTGCTTAGAATGTTTAGGATTTTATTTTCCCTTTTTGTGATTTGGACGATCATTTAGTAGATAAAGCTCCGAATAGCCTTCCTTCGAGATCGACCGGAGTCGGGTAGCTCGGTTATCCCTTGCCCACCAAATATTTACTAAAAAAGCATCTATCAATACCATAAAATATCGAAAAAGGTCCCGAAGTGGGATGAATAGGGCCACATATATCATCTTGAATCCTATGAAGGAACGTAGGAGATTCAGTTCCAACTTTAGTACTTGCAGGTCTCAATATTAATTTTCCCTTTGCACAAGCATCACAAATAAATTCATTAAAGGAAGGGAGATTGCTGCTTGATATGCTATGCCCAATAAAGTTAGAAATAATCCGACGTATCATACTAAGCCCAGGATGACCCGATTGCTCATGCCATAATTTAAATGAATTTGGGTCTTTGAATTTTAAGCTCAATGCAACATGATTAACCACAGGTCGAATGTAAGTATGGTACAAGCCTGAAGAGAAAGAGGGAAGTTCTTCTACAATTTTCTTTTGAATTCCTTGTGAATAAGTCATAATAAGATACTCTATATTGTTTTCAGTCTTAGTTTCAAGATGAAAACCATTAGATCGAATATCTTTAAAACTAAAGAGTGTTCTTTGTGATTCAGGGTACAAAAGCGCATCGTTAATAATTAATTCGGTACCCTTAGGAAGAGTAAGTAAAGCTCTGTCGGAGCCTACTATCAAGATTTTATAATGAGCAATTGTAGAAACACTCCCTTTCTTTTCATTTAAAGTTTGAAAAAATTTCCTATATTTCAAAATAGTGTGCGTAGTAGCACTGTCGACCAGACATAAAATACCCTCTTTCTCCATAAGATGCAAACTAATGAATGGTTGTGGTACACTAAAAGAAAAGTAAAACATTGTAAGCAAACGAAGCAATCATGAAGTCCCAATCAAAACATAACGTCTGAAAACATACCAATAGCAAAAACAAATGTCTGGCGAAGAAAAAGAAATCAGAACTGTCTAATAGCAAGAAACAAACCACGAAAATAAAAATATCCAGTTCTAAGTTAGAATGCATATTAATCACACATCATCACCATAGTCCTCGAGCTCAAGCTTCAATAAATCATCATCATCAGCATTGAAAGCTAAATTTGCTTCAGGCAAACTAGCATGATGTGATTCACCTTGAGGAGCCTTTCCTTTCTTATCCTTGAGCATTCTTTGAGAGGCTTCAACAAGATGTCGAGGAGTACGACATGTGTGGGACCAATGATTATCGCATCCACATCTCAAGCAAACCTGCTTATGCTCTTTAGGTTGTGGATGTGAATCGCGTCGATTTGAACGATCCACCTCAATGTTCAAGTTATCGCTACGACCTCCCGAGACGCTATCACCATGACCTCGCCCACCATCTCGAGTCCAAACACGGCCACGACCGCGTCCACGACCACGACTGCGACCACGTCCACCACGGGGTGGCTGGGTATGGTATCCTCGACCTCTCCTTCGGACATTGTGATGCCCGTGAGTAGTCGCATGTGCTTCAGGCACAACTTGAGTTCCAACAGGCCTAGCATTATGATTTTTCATCAACAATTGATTGTGTTTTTCGGCCACAAGCAAGGCCGATATTAGCTCAGAGTGAGTTGCATAGTTTTTAACCCTATACTGCTGCGGGAGTACAAGATTACGAGCATGAAAAGTTGATAGTCTTTTCAAGCAACTCGACCTCTGTAATGTTCTGCTTACAGAGTTTCAGCTGTGAAACAATACGATGTAGGGCCGAATTATATTCAGTGACTGATTTAAAGTCCTAAAACCGAATATTAAGCCAGTCATACTGAGCTTGAGGTAGAATTATGGTCGTTTGTTGGTCAAAGCGATTCTTCAGGGAATTCCAAAGATTGGCGGAATCTTTTTCGGTGAGATATTCATTTTTCAGATCTTTATTGAGATGGTGGCGGAGAAAAATCAACGCCTTTGCTTTCTGGGCATGAGTGCTTTGAGATGTAGAAGCAGTTGTAGCACGTAAGTCGAATGAGGCCAGGTGAATCTCAACATCAAGGGCCCAAGTCAAATAATTACTTCCATCAAGGGCGAGCTCAACAAATTCTCTTTTAGTCATATCAGTCATTGTCAAATTCTACTTTCAGGCGATTAACAAGAAAATTGACTTGGTGGCAATTGGATCACTGAGCCGCGGATCCGCCGTAAATGATGATGATATACAGAAATTAGAGCGTGCTGATAACGTATTGTAAATTGGAACTCTTCTCACCAAGCATCTATCAATCAACCAAACATAAAGATGTGCAGTAAAGAGAACAAGAAAAGAGAAGCAGAAAAGTCTATCACTTTATTCATCGGTATATCACCCCTTTATAGGGTTTACAAGAGACAAAGCCCTATACTTAATTTTCCTAACTAATGGACTTCAGGCCCCAATTATATATTAGTAATGTCCATATTAATATATTTATAATAGATACAAATATATCAATACAATGATACTTGTTCCAATTTTTTTAGGTAGGGCTCTAGCCCACCCAAGCCTCCTACATAGCTACGCCTCTGGATATGGTTGGATTTAATTCTTTCACAATATTCTACCCGACCACTGGCACATTAAGAACACGACCAGTGTTGTCGCCAACCCTTAGCCAAACACGGTTGCAGCAAAAATCAGCAGGCGCGCTCGCACTTTGGGGCAAGATAACAACAGTGACGATAGGGTTATCCCGACCGATAACAGCCTTAGCTTCCTCAGCCGGCTTACCGACTAGGCCGGGCCAGTCAACTCTGTACCTGCTTTGACCACAACATTCACGATCATGGCATCTAGGGATCATGTAACAAGGGGGATATGGGTACCTTCCCGCCATTGTCAATATGTATTACTATTAATACCTAGCTTCTTGTATGCTATGAACAAAATTATGAACAGTGATGTTGTGCAATTTATATAGATCATGCTAGACATTAATTGATTACTGTAATCTTTGATATTATAGTTATTAAGTTTTAAGATTAATTATTACATTATGTTGTGAATCAGATTCTGCATTGTGGTTCATTTAGTGCGTAATCTATGAGTGGGATTGTGTACATGTACCTTAATTTTCAAATGGAGTCTTTGAGAAAATAATGAACTAGGTTTGTTTTGAGATTATAATTGTTATATTTCGATTTTATACATAACTAGAAATCAACCCGTGCATTTGTATGAGAATAATACAAAAAGAACCTAAAATATAAAATCATAATTTATTTCATGAAATTTTATGAATTGAGAAAAGAATTCTAAATATTGTTTAAAACTTCTTTATATACAACATTTGTGGTTCTCCTATCGTCAGAATCTCTATCACCACATATCATTATCTTCAAACTTTTCAAAATTTTCATGACTCTTGAAAGAGGCACGTACAACTGCCTAGCTATGATTGAAAAAATCGTTTTTTCAGTACTAAGTCGACTTGTAACATAGTCCAACTTTACGGATCGTCATAACATAAACAACCATGACAGGAAACTGTTTGTAGTGAAACTTGAAAGGTACCCTCAAATCAGAAAGAATGATTGTGAGTCTAGGAATAAGAACCTTTTCACCAGCTTTGACGTAGGCTAAAATTTTTCCACTGAGGACATGGTTGTTGAACTTAGCAATAACCAAATCGATAATGTTGCACAACCCCATTGAATGACCAATATTCCTCAGCTGCATCACTGAAGTACCAACCTTCAAGTGCAATTTATATTTGGATGTCTCGAGCACTTAATCCCCTAGCAAGCGGTTCTCAAACTCATATAAGTCTTTCCCCCGAAGGAGTTCAATGAACTCATATACTCATTAACGAACTCAACTACATCAATTGTGGGAGTGGGTATCCCTCTGTCTTTAGATAGGTAAGGTCGTCACTTGAACTCCTGAGCATGGGTAGGTACTCTCAACAATAGTAGCAATAAGTTCTCTTTGTGATTTTTTTAAAATAAATTCGAAAAAATGTCAATATCGCGGCACACCCCTCATTGGATCCATCGAGTGTTCCGTCACCAATGCTCGCAAGCCACTTCGAGAAGCGCTTCATCTCATCGTACTTATCACCCCCACCAAGGCTTCGAAACCTCATATTCTGAGTCAATCACAGACGATGCAATCCTGCCACAATTGGGATGAATTTGGTAAATACTTGTAATGAGCTGCAATATTATTAAGATTTTGATGGCATAATTTCAAAATTGGTCCTATAATTTGGCCACAGTCCAAAAAACCACCTCGATATTGACCACTTTCAAACTGGGTCCAATAATTTGACAACTGTTGTAAATATTTTTACCGGAGTAGAACCCCAAAGATTCGACACCGGGTTGTGTCTCACGAGGAAGGTTAGCCGGAATATGTTGTACGTTTATTCAAGCACAAAAAGGCAAAATAAAAATCCTAGACATTCTAATTCAGATAAGAGGATATGTTTAATTATCAACTACTGCAGATATTTAAATAAGCAATAAAATAGCAAGAAACAACGAAGAGCGAGTGGGACTTGAGAAGCTAGGGATTCGGGGATATCCGTTTTGGTTTGAAATGCGATTCTCAAGCAAGTAATTGTCCAGCTAAGTGATTTGGTAACCAACACGTTCAAGTACTCATTCTCAATAACTTTTCGTAACAAGAGAACAAACAAGAACGGCAAATTATCAATTCATTTAACACCTAGGCAATACAGTTACGAACAAGCCTAGCCTATGCGAGCCTATTTCGAACGACTCCTCCCCTTTCGGTTCTAAGAGTCGATTAACTTAGACTAGAAAGTAATTAATCAACTAGCCCGTTTAGAATTAACAACATCAAGCATGGATTTATCAGATTCAATTGAAACAATTGCAAGTTGAAGTGTCACCCTTCAACAATTCCCAAAATCCAACATAATGATTGAAAAACCCTAATTAAAGATAAACTCGCATAGGAAGAACAATCACGAACACGTTTATCGCAAACGAAATCAAAACATCAATCCCCTATCCCTAGCATAAAGATCTACCTACTCATAGTGCATTCAACATTAATATTCACACCAACCCAAGCCATAATAATCAAGGATAAACGAAAAGAAAAGCTTACGATTGATATAAATCCAATGTCGAAAACAAGGAAGAAAACCAAATCCACAAGTTGAATCTTGGAAGTTTTCACTTTCCAAGGTTGAATCTAAGCATAAACCAAGAGAAAAGATGTTTTGTAGTTAAAAAGCTCGAAAAACAATGTCTGGAGAGCTCAAAAAATGCCCTAGGCTCGATCTAATAAGTCCCCAAATTCAAAATCCATAAAAATCGCGACTGTTACAAAACAGACCTTAGCGCCGCTAAGGGGTTAGCGGCGCTAAGCTTTCTTAGCTGGTTGCCTCTGTCCCGCTTAGCTGCCAAAACCCCGCTAACCACAATGCCCTTAGCGGCGCTAAGGCCCTGGCAGCTTTGCACGACTTCACGGTTTGGGCTCGTTCGGGCTCGTCTGGTATCGGAATTCGATTCCACTTTTTCCTGTGCCTTCCTAACGAGCTCCTCTATTCAATTATGCTCATGAAACCAATTTTTAAGGAAGAGAAACTTTGCCCAAAGCTCCTGACCTACACACCAAAAAACAAAGAAAAATCAGAAAAACACAAGGAAAATACAAGAAAAACCGAAATAGATCAAATCAAGCAATAAACTACAAAAACGAATAAAACCCAACAAAAAGACTCAATGTGGTGGAAAAAGAAAGCAAAGAGACAAAGAAAAACGCAACAAAAATGGGACAAACAACTCCCCCACACTAAAACCTTTGTTCGTCCCGAACAAAAAGAAAAGAAAAGACACGAAAATAGCAAACGAGCATGGATAATAGTTTCAAATAAGACATGTCTCAGATTAATTAACTTAGTCGAGGAAACTTCCAATGACCAATCATGCATACCTCAATTACAACTCAAATGCAACGCTTGAAAACGAACTCTCAAGCACAGAAGTAAAATATGTATGTGCCTCACACTCGGTTCCTTACATGAATATGAAATGGGTTCGCTCAAATTGGTCGATCATCATGCATCAACATAAGCTTGCTTATCATCTACTC